TCATAGGGTTGCTATAATCGACTTGATGGCAACTAACAACAGGAATTGTATTTTGTTTGTTAAGTATTGGACTGCAAACCAAAAGGTTAGCAGTTTGAATCTACCATTTGTTGTATGAGAGAAGAACCACCACAATTCGGAATCCCCTCCACAGCAGTGGGTTTGATGTTACTATACTTACATCCTGGGGGTGTTGAATGGGTTAAATGAGTCACATAGGTAAAGGATTTAAAACAGTGGCTGGAAAAGAGTTAGAACCCATGAAGCATTAGCTACTGAGGGTTTCCCTCACTTACACCAACCTTCTACTTTATACACAAAATGCCCTTTTCTAGTGATTGTCATTGCTGACTGATAATGTATCCACAGTAAGCACGTGGAAAATGCCTTCTCCATGCTTCTGAGGAACATCATGGTTTTATTTTTCAACAGCTTAAGCATAGTACAGTCATGGAGTTGACGCAAAGGCAGGTAGCATTTACTTCTGTTGTACATGAGCCGCCATAATGGAGTACCAATTTGACTGCACATACATTGGCCATGTTGCCAGGAGAAGTTATTCCTTGGAGGGCAACATGCTTGGAAAGATGGAGGGATGGCAAAAAAGAGGAAGAACCTCCGTGATATGGATTGACACAGGAACTGCAGCAATGGGCTCAAGTGTATCTGAGATGATGAGGATGGTGCAGGACACATCTGTTGTTCATAGAGTCGCTATGAATCGTACTCAACTCAACATCACCAAACAACAACAAATAGCAACAGCAAGTGTTAAATGTTGGTATTGCAAAGTCAGCACATTCACAGGCAAGTATTTCTGAGATGCCCATGTGGACACATCAACTAAACCCAGCATTTCTCCACCACTCTGGCTCTGCTACAAGTCTCCACCACCAACAGTCACACACCAGCCCAGATGAAGCTCCTCAGATGACGGGTACTTGCTTGGAATGGCATCTTCTTGACTTTCATCTCCTCAGTTTCTCTCTCCTAAACTCTCACCCAGATTTTCACTGTCTGATTTTTCATTCCATCATATTATCCAGGCCCAGGAATGATGCTAACAAACTCCCTAACCCTCAGCCTTCACTACATAGTTAATTACCTCACTGTATTCTTCACTGGGACCTGATGTTGTTGTTTGGTGCTGCTGAGCCAGTTCCAAGTCATAGCGACCATTTATACTCAGAATCATATGTCAGGTGTACACAGGCTAATGATTTAGGCCAGATGGAAAGATGGTAGAAGCACTAACTTTTGTTTGCTCCAATTAACAGTTATTTTCCTGCCGCTGTCTATAAAATTAGCTGGCTTGCTCTTTCAAAATGTAAGTGCAGCTCCATTATCTTACTTGCTATGCCTATTGAAATAAAAGGCCTTTTCTACATCTGCAAGAGCATCTATTACTACTTCCGGGAAGCATCTCCTTGGAAACCACTGCGTTCCAATGATCTGGACATGCAAGGCTTAGGTGGACCTGGGACTCCAAAGCCATTTTGTTGCTGCTCTTGTTGTTAGGTGCTGTTGAGTTGGTTCTAACTCACTGAGACTCTCTGTACAAAGGAACAAAACACTGCCCAGTCCAGGAAAATCCTAGCAATCTTTACTATGTTTGAGGCCACTGGAGCTACCGTGTCCATCTTGTTGAGGGTCTTCTTCTATTCACCAGCCCAGCACAAGGTAAATCTCTCTCCAGGGACTAGTTCCTCTCAACAAGTCCAAAGGATTCATCCTTGATTCTAAGGATTATTCTGGATGCAACATTTTCAAGACAAAAGTTGTTTGTAAGTTTATGCAGGCCATGATATTTTCAATAACAATTGTGAACACCCTAATTTATTTTTTTTTTGGAATTACAGGGTCACATTTTAATTCCTGAATTTTACATTTTAGCATTAATATCACCACATGTATACAAATGGTGTAAAACAAGTACAGTGGTATTTTTAATACAAAATAAACATCTGTTTTATGGAAAAACTATAATTCATATCTACACAGACAGCCCATCTTTTCCAAACAATAGCCCAAAGTAAAATTAACTACAAAAATCTCCAAAACAGGGCAAACTGCTTCAGTTTAAGCTATTCCAGGAAAAATGGACCCTTAACACATTACAAGGGTGATCTAAAGATGGTACCTAGAATTACAGTTTTAGCTTTTTATTCCCAATGCATTCAGTTGTAGTTTGGGGACTCTGTTTTCCTCACTTCTGCATGATCTCAGATCATGGGTGAGCAAACTATCATTAAAATATTTACAGGTAACTTGCTGTTCTAAAAATAAAACTTCTTAACTGTTTGCCTCAATTTATGATTTTAGGTTCACTTACGTACATGGAATGTGCTTTTATGCTTTCCAATTACACCCTTGTCGAACACCCCTGTGACGCACGCTGCTGCAGACACATCCTGGTCCCAGGCGGCTTCCAGCTAGTAAATGCCACTTAACTCAGAACTATTCTTTTTAGGTTAGGTTTTGTAATATACTCTTTAAAAATGTGCTTGCAGCTCTCAACAGAGACTTTACCAGCAAAGCAGAAGATGACTTCAAAGTCTCTTCCGCCACTTGTGGTTCTGGGAGGCGACTGGAAAAAAGGAAATCCGTCCTACGACCCAGGTGTCCAGGGACACTATCCTTCTAGAATACTATTTTATGGATTCCTGCCATGTATTTGCTCAAAAAGTGCCAATTTCAAAGTTACCTAACAGAACACTGTCCATTCAGAATCGACCTTGCTTGTTTTCATCCAAATACACACTGAACATTTCTGGTGTCCAAGACTCAGCGTGCATCTGTAATACAGGGTGTGCTTCCTGCCATATACCACGAAGGCTAAATTCCTGTTAAATCTTTGAAGACATGGTCCCAATGGCTTAAGTGTATTAATTACGGTAGTTGAACTTGTTTTCCATAAAAATTTCTATTAAAAAGAGGCAACCTAATTTAAAAGTATCAGTTCTTAAAAGAAATAATAAAAGTATCAATTCTTCAAATCAATCCTTCAGTCTCTCAGGTTTCTCATGCATATGATGAAACTGAAAATACCATAGCTTGGGTCAGACAAACCTTAGTATACTATATGACATCTCTTTTTAAAAAAAAATTGGTTTGCTTACAAAGTTTGTAAATGTTGTGTTTCATACAATCATTCTCATGCATTATGCTTTATAAAATTAATCACCATTGGACTTTGCCCATCATTACCCTGTCTTTTTGCCTAGGTTCTTAAGGACCTTTTTATTCTTTAGTATTTCAAAGAGGTCTTTTGCACCAGTGTGCTATGTGGTTGGTTACTTGACTGCTGCTTCTATGGGTGTTGATGATGAACCCAAGAAAAATGGAGTCTTTAAAAATCTCAACTTTTTCTTCATTTGTCATGATGTTAGTTATTGGTCCATTGATGGGAAATTTTGTTTTCTTTATGCTCAGGTATAAAATCCATGGGAAGTGATAATCCTTGATCTTCATCAGTAACTGCTTCAAATCCTCTTTGATTTTGGCCATGCCTGTATCTCCCTTCTCAAAGCACTTGCTCAGCATACAGACTGATAAGAATAAGACATAAGAATGATGACAGCACACAACTTTGAGGCAACTTTTGACACTCCCTGATTTTAAACCATGCAGACTACAATTTCTCATAGAAATTGTAGAACAATTAGTGGAACAAACATGTCAAACTGTTCTACACAGATTAGTAAGTAAGCAAGCATAAGTAAGCCTGTGCTTACTTTGCTTACTGGGTACCCTATCCCTGCCAAGAAATGTCAATTTGAAAAAAGGCACTGATTATGTAGTAAGGTGCTATGAGGTTGGAAGAGAGAGAGATGCCTTCAGAATCTACTCTACAGCATGAGGCGGGTGGCTTTTGGTAGAATGCTATTCCTCTTCTGAAAAGCAAATCCTTCATGAAAATTATATATGATCTGTCATCCAGGAATGGATTATGCATCCAGGGCAAACATTGCTCATCAGCTGGTGGCCTCAAACCATGTGCCTTCAGGATTGTAGTGCAGCTTCTTGCCTCCAGGCCACCAGAGCTCCCTGTATATATATCATTGTTCTTTTAAATTCTGTGTCAGAAAGTTCCATCAGACTTTCTGGCGTCAGGAAATCCATTGATAATGTGTCATTTTGGGGGGATGACATCTTACTTTGTGATTGTATATGGTGTGAGGTAGCCGCTTCTTATGTGACATTGCTGTGGTAGAATTTTTCATGCCTAAGGTGATGACAGGTTCTTGATCAGAAGTCACTACTCTAGAAGAGGGTGGGCCAGCTACTCTGCCTGTATTTCTCTCTGAACTTCTGACCCAAGGGAAGATTCAGTTCAGGGGTGAGAGCAGCCTCATGTTCCAGCTAAGTCAGATCAAGGTGCTCCGGATTAAAGGCAAGTTAGTTGACTGGATGTGGAGGCACAGGTGTGGGGTGGAATGGATGCAAGGCAGGTACAGGCACAGGGTGGACATGGGCATAGTGTGGGCACACGCACGGACCTCACTCACATCCCAGCTGTCTGGCTTTCACCCGGTGGCTCTTATCCAGCAGGGCTCTGGGTATGGCGGGGCTTAAAGAAAACTCAGTAAAATTTCCACTGTACTGCTTGCTTCTGGTGGGTGGGTCCCATAGCATCTTGACGGGTACCTCCCACCAGGGCTCAGCTGGTGGCTCCCACTGAGGCGTGGCTGGCAGATCCCGTTGGGGCTGGGCTGGTGGCTCCAGCTCACTGCTCCTGTGGCTCTTTCAGGTCATATGAATGGGAAGTCAACACAGACCAGGTTCAGCTTCTCTTCAAAGTCAACTTCTTTTTTTTTTTCTGTGCTTTTTCTTTCCCTTTTTTTTTAAACCTAGGGAAGCAGGTTCCGAGAAGACCCCAGCAGCGTTCCCTCCCTGCATTGAGAGGGCCCGAGGCGACGGGGTGGGCTCAGCGGCTTCGCTGAGGCTTCCGCAGGGGGCGCAGGGCCAGGAGGGGGGCACAGGCAGGGACGATGGCCCGGTCACACAGCGGTGCGCGTGGGTGTGCTGGGCTGGTTCAACCGCAGCGTTTTACACAACCAGCCTACAAAGTCCACTTCTTCCACCTTGGACCGCTTGATGAAGGTGTGGTTCATCAGCATTTTCAAGTCAGCACGTTCTGCCGGGTTCTTGATCAGGCATTTATTTACAAACTCCTGGAAGTCCTGGGTGAAGACGCCGTTGGGCAGCTTCGGGGGAGGCTCATTCACAATGTAGTCCAGCAGTTCAAAGATGGCCATGGCGGGCCGGCTGTCCATGCCGTGACCACTGATGGGGCGTCCGGGGGGCCGGGGCCTTGGTGAGATGCTGTGGGGTTCGCCCTCGGCCCCGTCGACCACGGGCCGACCGAAGATGGCCTCCAGCTCCTTGGCGTCGGGCGGGGGGATGGGGTACCTCCCGATGGACAGTTCCACCAGCGACAGGCCCATGCTCCAGATGTCCGATTGCACCGAGTAGTGGGTGCCCTGCAGGCACTCCGGCGACATGTAGGAGCGTGTCCCCACGAAGGAGTTGGCCATGGAGTCAATGAGCTGGCCGCTGACCCCGAAGTCACACAGCTTGATCTCTCCCCGTGAGTTGACCAGGATATTGGAAGGCTTCACGTCT